TACTGCGCGACAGTTCGTTCTGTTCTACTTTACGGCTGTGAAACGTGGTCATTAAGAGTAGAAGATAGTCGTAATTTACTAGTATTTGATCACAGATGCCCTAGAAGTATTGCTCGCATCTGCTGCGACCACCGGGTAAGTAATAGTGAGGTTTTTTTATTATTTTTTTTATTTTAACACATAGATATCGGTACAAAAAGGCACCAAATACATATGCGCCACACATATCTCATTTGATATGTGTGAGGTTAGGCGCACGGTATTAGGGAATGATGGTAAGTCAGTTGATGAGGCTGTGAATCTTCATCAACTGAGATGGTTAGGTCATGTGTTACGTATACCTGAACACTGATTACCACGACACACAATGCTGACTAGTGTTGGGGATGGTTGGAAGAAGGTTAGGGACTGTCAAACCAAAACGTGGCATCAGTGCTTGAAGTTACTAACTTCTAGTCTTAGTCATGTTGGTAGTTGCAGACTACTTGGTTGAGGTCCGTGTGACTATCGTAACCAATGGTTGTAGACTGTGAATGACATGGCTCAGAATCGATCACAATGGCGTAGGTGTATAAACTCTATGTATTCCCTTAGACCGTGAGATTGATATGACTTTATGCCTTTCTTTCTACGAACTAGTTCTTTCTTCCTGAATTATATCCTTATATGTAACCTTTTCTTTTGATATATTACTACCATTGAATTAAATACTTGTATGAATTTGGTGTTCATCTTGTTGTGCTAATGAGTGAGGTGTGGCAACTTGGATCGATACATATATGTGCCTCGTCCTACGTTGTAAGTGGTTTACTGAATGCACGACGTCATACAATTACTGGTTGACCTGATAAACCAAATATGACACTGACCATTGATTTTTAATTTTATGCCTGAGAGAACATGTGATCTAAATGCAGCGTCTTTAGTTGTTTCAGACTGATTATGTGGAATCGACTGACTAACATTGTTGCAAGAGTTTTGAGCTGCAACGCAACAATTACTGGAAGTGATAGATGTATTGTGAACAGATGCATTAGCAGACCTAAAATCTCAATTATTTCTAGGCTAATCAAGTATCTTGTCTAACGGCTCTTCCAACAAAGGAATACAGCATTTTGATTTTCTTTTGTCCTTGATTTGTTATCCAGGTTAATATCTCATTGTCTTAGAATACCAGGACCACTGGGACTGTTTGTCACAAAATGTGCGTTATCCAATCTGCTCTTTTAAAGACAGTGTTTACAACTGTCCGTGAGTTAGTTAGCTTCTATCGCTCACAACAATTGCGTGCAATATCAGGACAAACTTCACACACACGGAGAATTTCATTTGAACGGAGGTAAAGACTGTTTAAGTTGTCTTTTGAACAGCTAAGTTCTCCCAAATACTTATTTCCAACCATATAGTGAGTGACCGGAGAAACGACTGGTCTTTGGGAAATACAATTTGAAAAAATTTATATGTTTATTACTGGCTAGATCGTCATTGTGACTTATTTAATCACGTTTAATATCTCTGGATAGTATTTAACGATAGTCGATAGCATTCATGTCGTTACTATAAGCAGAATCTTATACTAAGAGAAATCAGTACTGAATTTTGCGTTAGATTATCTACGCTGAAAAAATAAATACAGTACTTTACGAACCCAAGTTTACCAAAAACAAGGCATACGACTTATTAAAATGAGAAATTTTAGAACTTACCATCGTGACTGAATCGTCCAAAAAGCCGATGAGTAATTCCGTCAATTTCATTAGTGGCTGGAATACGGTGGTCACCTCTACGCATTTTGCTGCCCAATGGAGCTGAACTTGCAGAGTGATGAGACAAAAACGACTGTGTAATATTATCAGAATATGGTCGTGGGGAAAAATCTAACGGCACTTCGAATTGTTCGTCATCGAAATCCGCATACGATTGCATATGAGGTGGCGGTGTATCCATAGGTGCAGACTGTATCGGTGGTTGTTTGCGGCGTCGAGAAACAACACCTTGAGAAGAATTAGAAGGATTCCTGCTACGAGAAGCATTCATTCCAGCACATTGTCTTAACCTACATTTCTGACGCATTTTGTTAGGGCCGCCGAATTTTCTTCTGTCTCTACAATATTCACATTTTCCGCAATCTTCTTGTATGCTGCAGCCCGTGCAATTACCGCAAGGACGTAAACGAGGGGACCCAGACCGCTTTTTAGGGACAAATGTGCTAGACAACTTTTGGTCTTCTCCAAGTCCAGACTGATCTTCTCGTCCCCAGTATACGCGATTATACACAGCTGAAGTACTTGAATCTGAGGCATTAGGTGATCTAGGAGACGTGTCAGAACCAGGAGAATTGAATTTGCGAATATTACGAGGCGGTAAATGTAATGTGTGGTCCATTGCATTAGAGCGAGTACCAGTTTCTACAAGATATAAATGTCTATATAACACACTACCTGAGTTACTGACCGGGGCATCTGAAGGTCTTCGTTTTCCCTTGAACTGTTTACCTGATGAGAATTGGTCTGTATATGTATTGACATCGTTATTAGGACTTAAATTCGGACGATTTTGTCTTGGTCTTTGACTTCTGGTGTTTTTATATTCAATCTCCAAAGACGGATTCCTACCTACTCAAAAAATAGACGAAATCCTCGGACACTTACATCGACATTGAGGACAGTAAAAAGTTTTTATTTGCTCTGCTTGCTTAGGAGTGACATTAATGCAATCTCCGTGATACCATTCCTCGCATTGGTCACATGCTCTACAGACTTATTACCATTTCTATAAACAACTCACATCATGAATCGTTCAGCGTCAGAAGAACGACAGACACAATAAACTTCATCCACATTTTTATCAAACTCCTCATTCACAGAGTTTTTTTTACCATTGTTCTTACGTCGCTTTTGCATATTTGATGGTTAGTTTGTAGAATGATCAAGGTCAGTAAACAACTTTGAAGTTTACCACTAATCAAGTGTCATACTGCAACACAACATATGCAAGAAGTAATCAATAAAACACCACTAAGTGAACAAACTACTACAATTTCTCCTATTAGCGGAATATTTTGATTAAGGCGCCCGTAATGGTCGTCGGCAAATTGAACTAACTACTGCAATTACTGTAGGTTAAAAATATTGTGGTATCACAAAGATGGTGATCTTTAAATAGCACGAACCAGATAGATGCTTTTAGTACGCAACTATTTAAGCCTTCAAAGAATGCACTAAAGTTGATTATTTGGTGATAAATAGCTTGTGGTTTGCTAACAAATTGTTCTACTTTACTGGAAATTTCGTTGCCTGAAGAACATGGAAACAGGATCACAAAGTATCTGAAATAATTTTCGATTCTTTTGGACGTATTCCATATTTAACCTCGTTCCCTCTTACGAGATTATAGATGGTAGATTCAGTGGCATGGATTGATCTAGTCAACTATATTAATCCTCAGGATCCGTATTTCTCTGAAGAATCGATCTTTCATCGAAAGTAGAGAAGCGGTGTTAAATGTTCCGGAAAAGGTTTCGGACAATTAGCGACTCCGTGAGAGGAACAAGGTTTTAGCTTCTTTATATTGGTTTTGAGAAAGTCATACAAGACGATCAGTCAAGGAATAAACAAGAAAACCATGCACGCAACAACCAAGTGATTAGCTATTTGCATAAAATGAATAACGTCTACATGCCATCATTCAGAAGTCGTGTTACACAATGTCCAACCATAGATTACAGATATTGCGCAAACTCCAAATAGAAAGTTTAGACTTATTGACTCGTTCCAGCGCGACAGTAAATAATTCCAGAGACTGATGCTATGTCTGAATTACTTGGACCCGAAACCCTCTCTACCATAATTGGGTATCAGCGTGCATTGATCATCATGACATCCAGTGCATGTCCCGACAACAGTATCACTGGGATTTGAAATATATATAGAAGCTTGCATCCAACTCTACAAACACACATTCATTCGTCCAACTCCAAAAATAAATCTGATGAAATATTCCTAGCACTTACGTCTGCATCGGATCCTCCTTGTTCATCGATGATGCCTCCCAGGTACGTGGAAGATTCCACACCTCCCAGAGCTTTTCCATCAAGTGTGATTGGGTTGGTGTTCTCGGTGTTGTATTTGAGGATGTTGCTTTTCCCTTTGTGTATGTTGAGGCCTACTGCAGTAGTCTGCTGCTACACTAGTTGTCTTGACCTTCATTCGTTCGTGTGTATGAGATAGAAGGTCTAGGTGATTAGCGAAGTCTAAATCATCTAGTTGCACGCAAGCTGTCCATTGTATTCTGTGCTTCTCCTCAGATGTGGAGGTCTTCATAATCCAGTCAACAACCAGAAGAAAGAGAAAGGGAGAGAGAAGGCAGTCTTGTCTGCCTCTGGTCCTCACTCGGAATGCGTTTTGTCAGCTGTCCTCTAATCATTACTTTTCAGTGTAGTATGCCGTATCATGTTAACGATTTTCTCAGGTACGCCATAGTGTCGAAGGAGGTTTCATAAGGTTTTCCTATCCACACTGCCGAATGCTTTCTCATAGTCAGGGAACTTGATCATAGTGACGAGCTCCATTCAATTGATTGTTTAACAATGGTCCGAAGTGTTGAGATTTGGTCTGTGCACGATCGATTCTTACGGAATCCAGTCTTTTGTTCCTGAAGCTGAGCGTCTACTGAATATCTCATTCGACTCAATAACACTGTTGAAAACTTTTCCTGGTACTGATAGTAGTGTGATGCTTTTGTAGTTTTCACATTTGCTCAGATCTTTCTTTGGTATCTTAAAGAGGTACCCTTCTTTCCGGTTTGTCTGTGGCACTTGTCCTTCCTCCGAAATCTTCCTGAATAGAATGTGGAGTATGCCTGCAGTTGCTTCTACGTCTGACTTGAGTGCTTCAGCTGGTATATTGTCAGGTCCTGCTGCCTTCCCACTCTTGATTTGTCTGATAGCCATCCTGATTTTCCTGGTCGTTGGTGGAGTAACATCTATAGTAAGGTCTGTAGGTGTTGTTCCGATGTTGGGTGGGTTATTTATTTATTTAAACACATAAACATTCGAGGCACTAAACAGATATGCGCCACACTTCATCATTCGATCTGTGTGAGGGCTGGAATACTGCCCGGGTGCCCAAACTGAAGCAGGTGGATTCATCGGAGCTGGTCTATTCAAAAGTTCCTCAGTGTTTTACACATCTCTTCCCCTGTTCTTGGATCTCAGTGATTGGCTCGCCTTCTTTGTCCTTGACCGGTCTCTCTGGTTTATTATATTTCCTTGCCAGTTTCCTCGTGTCATATGGTTGTTTCATATTTCCTTCTGCTGCAGCATTTCCCGCTGTTATTGCTAGGTTTTCCACGTATTTCTGTTTGTCAGCCCTAATGCTCCTCTCCACTTGCTTCTTTGCTTCCATGTATTCAGCTTGTGTCTCGACTTTCTCTGTCCTTGTTCGACAATTGTCTTCTGCTGCTGTCTTCTTTTTCTTCTTCCTTTCTTGAATCATACGCAGGTTTTCCATAGAGATCCATTCATTACGATGATGCTTCCTGCTGCCCAGAATCTTCCTACATGCTGAAGTTAGTGCCTCTCTCACCCATTTCCAATTGCCCTCCATCGTCGTTTCTTCTTCTAGTAATGACGATGATAATATTTTCTATTATATTGATATTTTCTGCGATTTAGATAACCTTTATCTATGTAAATGCGAAATACTTAGTGGGGTTGAATTGTATTTTATGAATATTCCAAATGACCAGGATTTGCAAACATTGAACGAACAGCTGAACACGTTTTTGTGAAGACATTCTTCTTTCTTTTTAATAGTTATGGTTTCAGCAGTCTGAAAGAGTTTTATTTTTATGGATTTCCTTTTAACACCATATATTATTAAAAGCAATTGTTTATTTAGTTTTTCAGTGTAAATTTCTTTTTTCGTCATAAATTAAAAGAACTGCTTCTCAAATTTAATAGGGACATATATTTGGAACGTGCGAAGTTGCTTACTTGTTTGAACGTTAGGATCCGGACCATTTTCTGAGCTTTCTTAAGAAACACACACTCATACATTACGGGCATCTTCAACAAACCGCTTTCTATACTTTTTGCTGAAAATGTAGTTAAAGAAAGGATCCCATTCGTGATAAGAATGTAAAGCTCACACATATAAAAATGACTTCACGCATGTTCGAATCTATGGAGAAACTATCACGTGGACCCGTACTAAAAGAGCATTTTGATCCATGACAGTTTGCTTCAGATTTAAAAGGGGTGGTTATTTTGTTAGATGCGCGTTTCTGTACTGTACCTACATCTTAGTCTGCTTGAAGAGCACTATCATTACATGAAATTTCCAGCGTTGACTCTACAACATGTGTAACCAACCGCTATTCTTAGTTCTCTAAGAGAGAACAGTATTGTTGCTAATGTTAATTGCTTTTTCGATTATATATTGTGTGGAGGAAAATATTCTGGATCTGTTAACTAAAGGTGGCGTGCCAATTAAAGTTGTTCTCCATACTTTTTCGTCCTTTTTTACAAGATATGGCATCTTCTGAAATAGCCCATTTTATAAGTGTGTCTTTGATCCTACTGTAAGAGTACCAGTTTCTCCCGTTTAAGATTTCCTTGAAATGAATGAGCTCTTGGCACTCAAATAGTGATATTTCAAATAGTCTCAAACTTAATCCTCTGGAATGTTAACATTAGCCATTACACTTATATATCCTGTTGGAATTTTGTAATTTCCAAGACCCCACAATTGAGGCTATGTCAAATTTCATTCATCTTGGTGTAATTGTTATGTCTCTTAGTCCTAACATGTTGATAATGAACGAAGTGTTTAACGGGACACTTTATAAAGGGGGTACATTTTGTTGAAATTACTCAGGGACTAGTTCTATAATGCACCCCATCATTCATTCCAGAGTTTTTGACAGATTTTACTGCGTTGCAAAGTGTCCTGAAGTTAGTTGGTAGATGAGGCTCCCGATACCAATATAAGAATGTGGTCGCGGATAGACCTTTGGAATTTTTGATAGTGGAAAGTGTTGTTTTACCAGATATTAAACACCAATTCCCCTTCTGTATCTTCCCGTAGAGCGAGATGCAGGTACAGGTAAAAGAGCTCTACAACGCTGTTACTAGTGCACATACTATTTGAAGAGTGGATTGTAAAGCCGACCTAATCAAAAATATGCATTCGTAAGCATGCTGACTATTCACAGTTGTACGGATTCTTCTCTTAAAAACTGATTCATCCGATTTTGGATAATTTGCTACTTAGCGGATATTTGTATGTATATGTATTTTGTGAGATATAAGAATAGAAAATGTTGAACTATGGTATGGTCACTCCATATAGTACTCATCATATACTCAACTATCATATTAAAGCTTGCCTACTTCGCACAAGGAAGTGTTTTTCATAGACAATCCGTTGAGAACTGTTTAGTTTCGGTATGGTCTGACAGCATATACCGCAGGCCTATGTGGGATTTGTACCAAATAATGATAACAATGTACTTGATTGTGCTCTTATTACGAATCACAAATAGCACATCCAATTGTGCACATCTAGTCCTACCGTCCTTACATAGCATTGTCTGAAATCTCACTTAGTACATTAATTCAAATTCATTTATTTTTAATACTGGCGTCGCGATAGAGTTAAACCCTGAGCAGTTGGATATTAATTTAAGTGGGGACGAACTCGGAGAATATTGAGTAGTTCAAACCCTGGTGCATGACGAAAAAAGACACTAATGATAAGTTCACAGTTTATTTTCTGAAGCTTATCGACAGTGAAGCCTATATTTTTCTAAAGAAACTGTCTTACAAATAAACTAATTTCACTAACATCTGAATTCCTCAAGGAGTCACTACTTAGTCATGTGCAACGCGCTAGATTTGAATGTATATATAGAGAGGTGGGAGTTTTATAAAATGATCAGAAAGTTTAGGACTCTACACTTGAACTACAGAAACAGGCTGAGAAGCGCAATGTCACTCAAGCTCCCGTTCGAACCTGTTCAATTTTAATCAGGTCATTATTCCCGAAAATACTGAAAACTAATATACAATAATGAAGAATGGTTAAAATACATTATCTGTGTATTAATAACATCCTTGATTTGATATTATAGGAGTTTATCATTGTGAATTCAGTGAGATTTCTAGCTTCGGATAATTGAGATGCAGTGTGATCGGAAAAGTTCAAATTGATGCCATATATCAAACCTACGTCACGAACAGTGTAGAAAGGTTTCAGTGTGTACTTGTATAACCGGATTCGAATTAAGGTAGCGACGAATGTGAATAAATCCACTTCTGTCAACATACAGTAGCAGGTTCCATGACACAGTCAGATCGCATAACTTATCTATTTCTACTTGGATTACCACTGAAATGTAGCTTTCTTGGGTAGGAGACGAGAATAAATAAACTACCTTTAGGTTATCAGTAAAAAGGTTTACCGTTTTGAAAGAGAGCAAACGCCATCATCGAAAAGGAGAAAGAAAATCGAGCCAACTGCGCTTGCGTGTATAACCCGTGGTTATATTCACAGGCTGAGAATAGTAAGATCCAAACTGAACGATTTGGCGAAATGGTTGTACTACGAACTGCCTGTTTGTGTCCAATTTTACCACATTTAGTATTACGGATTACATATGAATTACAAGAGTGAAATGTGCTACAGAACAAACATTTGCCAAACTTATGCTCATCTTTGAGATCTGCTTCTCAACTCTTCAATGAGTTACCTACATAACCTTCAGTAGGCATTGGAGTGGAATGACATGGTAGTGCAGCGGGATTGTTGATGTAATAACGAATCATCTTTAGGAAATTTTCCTCTTTTACAGCATCCGAAATTTGCACATGTCACATGGTGTAGAAGTTCATCGAGGGTTGGATAATGAAGTGAAATAGGCTTTTCCGGAAATACGAATAATAAACTGTAGACTTCTTTTTCCATGGATATAAAGAAACGAGACAGAATATCGACATCCCCTTTGTTTATAGTCCAGATTTCGAACCATTTCATATAATCCTCAAGACTTGTATACATGTCCAAATGTTCCATCACAGGCTCCATCGCGACGCCAATAAGATTATTAGAAGAAGAATTAAATGAGCACGAACAAACATACTGATTTTGGGACTCGAAATCAGACAGACACCAAGTACAAAAGAATCATTAGTTCATTCAAACACCACAGAAACACACACGTTTGTGGTCAGACCTACTGAGTTTGTTGTAAGCAGCCAATGAGATTAGCTCATGCTACACAAAAACATCTATCGTATTTGTCACGTTGTAAACCAGAGCCTCTAAAAATGCTTTCAGCGACATTTATGAAGTTTCAATTTTGAACAAAACTAACCAAAATGCGATTTTAGAGAGTAAATAACTTTACGAAACCTTCTTCGACACTATGGTGTACCTGAGAAAATCGTTAACATGATACGGCATACTACACTGAAAAGTAATGATTAGAGGACAGCTGACAAAACGCATTCCGAGTGAGGACCAGAGGCAGACAAGACTGCCTTCTCTCTCCCTTTCTCTTTCTTCTGGTTGTTGACTGGATTATGAAGACCTCCACATCTGAGGAGAAGCACAGAATACAATGGACAGCTTGCGTGCAACTAGATGATTTAGACTTCGCTAATCACCTAGACCTTCTATCTCATACACACGAACGAATGAAGGTCAAGACAACTAGTGTAGCAGCAGACTACTGCAGTAGGCCTCAACATACACAAAGGGAAAAGCAACATCCTCAAATACAACACCGAGAACACCAACCCAATCACACTTGATGGAAAAGCTCTGGGAGGTGTGGAATCTTCCACGTACCTGGGAGGCATCATCGATGAACAAGGAGGATCCGATGCAGACGTAAGTGCAAGGATTGGCAAAACAACGACGGCATTCCTACAGTTGGAGAACACATGGAACTCAAAACAGCTGTTTGGAAGCCAACATCAAAGTCAGAATCTTCAATGCGAACATCAAGACAGTTCTACTGTATGGAGCTGGAACTTGGACAACTACTACGACCGTAATCAAAAATACACAAGTATTTATAAACAATTGTTTGCGCAAGATTTTGGTGTCCGTTGACCGGATACCATCAGCAACGGTCTACTGTGGGAGAGGACAAACCAACTTTTATCTGAAGAGGAAATCAGGAAAAGATGTTGGAGGTGGGTATGATATACATTACGGAAATCACCAAACTGCATCACGAGGCAAGTGCTAACCTGGAATTCTGAAGGGAAGTGGAAAAGAGGAAGGCCGAAGCACACACTGCATCGAGAATCGGAAGCAGGCACCGAAATGATAAACAGCAACTGGAAAGGATTGCCCAAGACGGGGAACACTGGTGGGCAGCCTATGCTTCTCCACGAAGAGTAACAGGCGTAAGCAAGTGAACGGTGAATCTTTTGGTACATAAACAAAATTCACCTTGAGTTCATGCACATCTCAATGTATTGTATTTCATTAAGGAAAAAAACGAAGACACATAAACTATTTATATTGTGCGACGACGTGTTTCTCTTTTTCAGGAATAAATGGAAGGTCATTTTTATTAAATATACGAGTATTTCTTTCCTTGCGCCTTTCTTTGGCTCTGATTATTGCATGTTCTTTACTGGAGGCGTGAATCGTTTTAGGCAGATGACGATGTTTTAGAATTTTCCGGACTTCTGGATGGTCTCTGAATTTCTCTCGTAAAGATTCACATGTCTGTAGGGATGCTTTTTGTCTTGGCTGAATCTAAGCAGAATGAAATTTAATGAGTATGGTGAAGAAAAATACCGGTCCAATAATTTCGTTAGCGTGAGCTTTCCACAGTCGGACGTTTTGATCTGATGATGATGACAGAACAAACTTTGCATCTAATGTCATCTTGACAACAAGCACACGCTTCATGCGTCTGGTGTGATAAACATCAAACGATTCTGTAGAATCACACTTCCAAAGTCGAATCTGTGGAGAAACGAAGTCAGAAAACAATTATGCTTACTGTTGAGTCGTAGCTTCCAGTGACAAATTCTCTTCCAGTTGGTGAATAGTCTACATCAAGTACAGCATTTACGTGACCACGATGAACTCTGCGAGGGAATTTGAAGAAACGATTGTCGAATGTATAAACATTATAGTCTTCGGATGAAGCAGTGAATATGAATGGTTCCATTGGATTCCATGAGAATGCATTTAATTTCAAATCCATTTTGACCTGAAACACGAATAACATGAAGTTAAAATATTACGGTTTTAGTAAAAGTAAACATTTATTCAAACTCTAAGACGAGATACAGTATCGTCATTTCAAATGAAGAATATGTATAAATTAACCTGAAATATGCGGAACCTCTGTTAGAAATTAACACCCACCTTGGATCGAAATATTAGGAACACCATTTTATAGTAATATATCTTTACGTAGTTTTTTGATCCAAATGATGATGGATACATGAGATTTGTTAATCTCCAAATATTTTGTGAGTCAAGATCAAAAACAGACGACAGACTCCATGTAATATGTAAGAATTAGGCTGAGTTACTGAAAGATGAGTACCTCCTATTCTCCAGGTTATTCAGCCACTCAGAACGATCGATATACAAATCTACATTGTGCTTGACAAAATCCGTAAGTAATGTATACGAAATGAGTTTTATAAATGTAAGGAGGACCTCTTGTATCATTTTGCAATAAGATAAAACACACAAAGACATGCATATTACTAAGAGCTTTACTATTTTGGAAAAATCAAAACAAGTCAAAATAAGGTTTAAATGGTTGAGATCATGAGTTAATTGAAGGTAGACCACCACAGAAAACCTGGGAGCACTGGATGGTCACTTCGTCCTATTGTGGGACTCCTCAGCAGTGTGCATCCACGATCCCGCCCCGCGAGATTCGAGCCCAAGATCTGTCAGTTTCGTGATTTGTTTGTAGTCTTCTTGATCTAAAATGTATAATCCTAAGAGGTGACACTCACTTGATGACCCGTGAAACTTTGGATTTTTATGTACAGATGCAGTCACTAAGTTATTTGATTGGAATCAGATGGTTTACACTTCTGAACTATAATTTGCTCTTTTTAACTTAACCAGAGTGAGATATGAAACTCATTGTGTACTGGTGTTAGATTTCAAACCAATACGAAACACTAGTATAAATTACATAACCTTATTAAGTTTTTCGCATTGTTGGTGAATTGAAGACAAAACAGAACATCAGGTATGCAACCCAGGATGATGCAAACGGAGGTATAGCTTTAAAAAGGATGAAACACGTAAAAAGAACTACGCTTCAATAAATTACTGAATTTTGTGGAAATACAATCTCTTATTTGAGTTAACCGACCATCAATTTAGCAACTGGGATAAAGACTATAAGTAATGAGATTTTCTAGCCTAGTAAAATTAAACATTGAACTGGTAATTCAGAATTAATATCTAAATAGATTATAGATGTTTATTATTTCGCCCTCAAATGCCCTGGTACGGCTGAGAGTGGGGAGAGTCCACCCTCCCTCTCGAAATGCTCTCACATGGCCATGCGTATATAGCCTCTGCCAGGGAAGTCCTACTCACTGCCTTCTCGTACCACGGGTATTGTTTACGAAAATGAGAGGACGAAAAGCGAATGTCCGGCGCTTTAACCGGACCCGAAATCAATGGTGCACATGGGCTCCAGTATCCTGAGGGAACAAATAGTGTATAAACCAATCGTTGGTCATCGGCTACCATGGGACTGCATCTCCTTACGATGCCCCACTGCCTTGTGGGTCAGACGTCCAGGTCGAAGGCTCGGGGTGTGGCCCCCTAAGAAAACCACCTGCTTCGGTTTGGGCACCCGGACAGTATCACAGCCCTCACACAAATCAATTTTGATTTGTGTGGCGCATATGTACTTGGTGCCTCCCTGTACCTATACTTATGTGTTAAAATAAATAAATAAATATGTTTATTTCGCAATGACATGGTATTTCATTGGTAAAACAGGAAATGAGGGAACAAATTATTTTCAAATAATCATAAAACATTAACTAAATAAAATTTAAGTTCAGTTAGCAACTAAATTTGACTGTGAGAGAACGAAACCAATAACTTAGTTCGAGTCGGGCTACATAAATCAGGCTTCTGTTTCAGTTGTGATAAGAATCAATCACCAAAATTTTTATTTGCAATCACTAAATAAAGTAAGTCCATCTACAAAAATATTTACAAAAAGCACAATTTCCGATTAGACCCCTGTTGAATATTCGGGATTATTAGTGTGAAAAACTAATGATTTAGACCTTGAAAACTTAAACACATAAACATTGGTACAGGGAAGCTCCAAATAAATATGCACCAAAAGTCACTTGATTTGCGTGCGAGCTGTGATAATGCCCGGGTGTCCAATGAGAAGCAGGTGGTTTTCTTAAAGGACCTCAACCGGAGCCTTCGACTTAAAGGTCTGATCCACAATGAAGTGGAGCGACGTAATGAGATGCAGTCCCGTGGTAGCCGTGAACTAATAATTGGTTCACACGCCATTTGTTCCCTCAGGGTACTGGAGCCCATGTGCACCATTGGTTTGGAATCAGGGGTCTCCAACCCCCTAAGTTGACGATCCATATCCACTAATCCGGTTAAAGTACCGGACGTTCGCAATCCCAAACACCATTATATATATATATATATATATATATATATATATATATATATATATATATATATATATATATATATATATATATATATATATATATATGAGTGGGTACACATACATGTCGATTCGGTTTAGTTAATAAGCATTTCCAACTCTTAGTCTTTTCGCTTGAGTGGTTGATTGGGAAGGTTAGATATCAGTATTAGCTCTTAGACACTGCACGTTACAACAATATTTATTTTAAATTAAAATAATTAAAATAAGAAAAGTAACAAGAATCAGTAGTATCAAATTAAAAAATACAAAATAAAGATATTTCAGTTTGCTATAGCATTGTAAATTTAAATGAAAATGTGGATGTACAATAGACATCAAAAAGCAATAAAATAACTTCCTAATAAGCATAATTTAGTGTTGTAGATACCTATTACGTTGTTTTATGATTCTGATGAAGGAGCCTAGTCTACAAGATTAACTATGCAAGACTTTATAGTCGACTAGAATAAAAACGTTATATAGATATTTAATCACCTTGCGAATAGGTTGATCCTGTCTGCAATCGATTAGAATTAATGAATTATCTTTGGTTAAAGCACATGCAATATTATGTTCGACTGGATTGAACTTGGCGTTATGAACTGGCTCTTGACCCCAACTCCATTCACGCAATGGTACATCAAGCCTAACTGAAGAGTATAGCAAACATGACTCTGGACCACCAATAAGAAACTCATTTGATGAAGGATGATGATCCATACAATGAGGAGTCCATTTCATTAGAACACTACTCAGCGGTTGTTTCCAACATGATACAATATCATCATAATTCATCCGCCATTGTTTCAGTTGACCATCTAGACTACACTATAATAAAAATGAAAGAAAATGAACTAATAATTAATTAGATTATTTCATAAAATATGAGATGAATTCAGTTTTTTGTACGATAATTCTATAATGCTTTATGAGCCCCCAAATGCCCTGGTACGGCCGAGAGTGGGGGGAGTCCGCTCCCCTTCTCGAAATGCTCTCACATGGCCACGCGTATACAGCCCCTGCCAGGGAAGTCCTACTCACTGCCTTCTCGTGGCGGGGGTGTTTACAAAAATGAGAGGACGAAAAGCGAATGTCCGGCGCTTTAACCGGATCCCAAATCAATGGTGCACATGGGCTCCAGTATCCTGCGGGAAAAAATGGCGTATGAACCAATCGTTGGTCACCGGCTACCATGGGACTGCATCTCCTCACGATGCTCCACTGCCTTGTGGATCAGATCTTCAGGTCGAAGGCTCCGGGTGTGGCCCCCTAAGAAAACCACCTGCTTCGGTTTGGGCACCCGGGCAGTATCACAGCCCTCACACATATCAAATGAGATCTGTGTGGCTCATATGTATGTATTTGGTGCCTTCTACACGTTTAACATAGACAATCGTTGATAAAGAAATGGATTTGGGATAGATAGATAGATAGATATGTAAGTGAATAACTTAATTTGCACGTTAATGATCAAGAACTATAAAAATAATAATCAATACATTCTAATCGGATTCAATGAACTCCACTTTAAAGTATTAACCCCTTCATATAATTTAACGTTATCTATATGTTTACTTGTACTAACCTTAAGTAACACTTATACCATATGTGAAGTGATGTAAAAACTATAAAGGTTACTCAGTTGATTTTTATAGATTCTGATTTGTCAATGTTTAATGAATAATACATAATTAACTAAAAACATCTATTTTTTGAAAAGCTACTACTACAAAGTGTTATATCAGTAGATTTATTTCAGTTAAAAATTTCATCAACTATTAAATAATTCAACAGAAACGTATATGATTATACTGCATCAAGATTATATCACTAGTAAGAGGATAAACTAGCCAACTCCTTTACCAAAAAAATTTTCTAATTAATTAGCCAAGTCAGTGATCTATGCAAAAACTGTTATAAATTGTAGATTTGTGCCCTTGGTTCTTTGTTCTTCACCCTGTCGCCAATCGTTATAACTTTTGGCCTGTGTGCCCTGTTAATGTATAACGTCATGATACCGCCAATTGGAGAACAGTAACTTAGCGATCGGACTAATGACGCTTAAAACCTGTACGAGCCGTCTAGAATATTTAGCGGTCCTGCTTCCTGCCTAGCCCAGTCTGTTAAGTTCAGAATACCAATCACAACCTCTGAGATATGAATAGTTTATTTCAAACATACTCGGTTTATATACCAACCAAACAGACTACGTTGTACCATAAAATAGGAAACGACATTTGTATAAGATTTAGCCAAATGCGGTTGTGAATGTGGGAGATAGTAATTGATAGACAGGGCATAATTCGATAATAGTAAATCGTATAATTTATTATTATTTATTTATTTTAACACATAAGTATAGGTACAGGGAGGCACCAAGTTCATATGCGCCACACAGATCTCATTTGATATGTGTGAGGGCTGTGATACTGCCCGGGTGCCCAAACCGAAGCAGGTGGTTTTCTTAGGGGGCCACACCCGGAGCCTTCGACCTGAACGTCTGATCCACAAGGCAGTGGAGCATCGTGAGGAGATGCAGTCCCATGGTAGCCGGTGACCAACGATTGGTTCATACGCCATTTGTTCCCTCAGGATACTGGAGCCCATGTGCACCATTGGTTTGGTGTCCGGTTATAGCGCCGGACATTCGCTTTTCGTCCTCTCATATCGTATAATAATAATTCATATGTCAAAATAAAGCTTGTGGTAAGAGAAACACAAATATGAATAGTTAAGTTACACAACAATTATACGATAAAAGTATAGACATAGTATTGGTCCATAAATGGATCCCAAAAGTTTCCATTCACTATTCTTATCGGGATATAACAAAAAGAATCTGAAAGACAACACAGTTTTACATACATATGAAGAAATGAGGAACAAAGTGAAAAAGGAAAACAAGCTGACTTACTTTTAGTTATCTTTAGATAACCATCTAATAATAATTTGTACCGCCTAGATCAAAGATGCTTTTAGTAAATAGGTTGATATTAATTCACTTGATATTGTTTTACTTGAATCTTCCCATTGATGTTTAGGACTGCACTTGATCAAGTAAAACAATATCAAGTGAATTAAACTTCACCCCATTGCAAAAGCAAGTGGCTATCAGGACTCAGTAGCTAAGTGGATAACGCGATGGCGTTTGAAGCGGACGGTACTGGGTTCGAGTCACAGAGTGAACATCAACTCTGACATGCAGGTACATCCAGCTGACGAGTCCCAAATAGGACGAAACGCGCGTCAAACTGGATTCTACTGCTAGCCACTATCCATTTTTGCTTATAGGTTGATATTAGTCTACAGATTCAGAATTTCGTCCGTAGACCGAAATTAGTAAATCAACCAACATGATTTCTGAAGCATCGATTTGGATAGTACTTGTTACTTATTTTTGTGAGGTGAAAGCCAATGTAAATAGGTTAGATTTAAACTAGAGTACCAACATCAAGTTTTCACTATGGGTAAAGGCTTGTAGTAAGCCCATTGAACTGTACTTTAGACAATTAACCCACTATGTAAAATTATGTATGAACCTGATTGAACGCAAGCCTGTGCATCAATCTTTATCTATCCTCCGATTGGTTGAAAACACAGACAATCAATAGTTTACCCACAATCGACTAACACTCATAAATATATATGGATTTTTAACACTCACAAGAGCATACTCAGTGGTTTCCCTGTGTGCTTGCTTTCTGAGAGCTTGAGGATTTTATCAGTTATTAACAATACACTATCAGTCAGTCGGTCAGTCAGCTGCAACGTAGGACCAGGCACGTATATGCATCGGTCCAAGTTGCCATACCGCATTAGCACGACAAGATGAACACCGGATTCATAGAAGTAGTTAATTCAGTGGTGGTAATATATAGAAGAAAGAGTGTGTATAAGGAGATAGTAAAGGAAGAAAGAATTAGTTCCTAGAAAGAAAGATTTGAAGTGATTTTAATCTCTTAGTTTAAAGGAAGACAGAGAGTGTATACACCGACGCCATTGTAATCGATTCTGAGCCATGTCACCAAGAGTCTCCAACCATTGGTTACGATAGTCACGCGGACCCCAACCAGGCAGTCTGCATCTACCAACATGGCTCAGACCAGAAGTTAGTGACTTCAAGCACTGATGCCACGTTTTGGTTTGGCCGCCTTTAAATTTCTTCCAATTATCCCTAACACCGGTCAGCATTGCGCGCCGTGGTAATCGGTGTTCAGGCATACGTAACACATGACCTAACCATCTCAGTTGATGAAGATTCACAGCCTCATCAACTGACTTACCATCATTCCCTAATACCCTGCGCCTAACCTCACTATTACTTACCCGGTGATCCCAGCAGATACCCGCAATATTTCTAAGGCACCTGTGGTCACATACTAGTAACTTACGAATATCTTCTACTCTTAAGGGCCATGTTTCACAGCCGTATAGTAGAACGGAACGAACCGCCGCGCAGTATACTCATCCCTTAATTGATAGACGAATATCTCGCCTTCGCCATAGATAACGTAACTTGGCAAAGGCCAAGCGAGCTTTCGAATCCGTGCTGAGATTTCGTCAGACACCAACCCATTAGGGCTGATCAGACTTCCAAGATAAGTGAAGTTGTCAACGCGTTCGACTACTTCACCCCTTATCCTTAGTTCAGGTGTTGACGCAGACCAGTCCTGAAGCAACAACTTGCATTTGGAGGGAGAGAAGCGCATCCCAAACATTCTGGCATTGTTGCTGAGTGCTACCAAAAGACTCTGCATTTTATCAGCGTCTTCACCAAACAGGACTATGTCATCTGCGTATTCTAAGTCGATATGTGAACCTCCTGGAGGGAGATCTGTGCCCGAGAATTCAGTCGACGTTATTTCCTGCAGTAGATCTATGATGAAGTTGAACAAAAATGGAGATCGTGCACAGCCTTGGCGGACGCCACTTGAGGTTGAAAAAGCAGATGACAGTTCGCCATAAGCTCTCACTCGACTAGTAGTGTTCGAGTAAAGAGCCTTCACAAGGTTTATGTACTTTTGAGGTACGCTTTTCAATGACAGACACTGCCACAGAACCTCTCGGTCAACAGAGTCAAACGCTGCTTTTAAATCAAGAAAGACCATTATTGTCAGACGCCGATAAGTATGCCTGTATTCTAGAACCTGACGAATGGTGAATATGTGGTCGATGCAGCCACGACCAGGTCTGAAGCCAGCCTGATTTTCACGTGTTTGCAGCTCACGAGTCTTAGTTGGGCGTCCGAAAATTATCGAGGCTAGTATTTTAGATATTATATTAGTTAAACTAATCCCTCTGTGGTTGTCACAGGATGATTTTGACCCTTTCTTAAATATTGAGACGATAAGTGATTGTGACCAGTTAGATGGAATAACGTCTAACTCCCAGATTTTAGATAAAATATTAGTCAACCTAATCGCTAATACTAGACCACCATCCTTAAAGACCTCTGGGGCCAATCCATCTGGACCAGCTGCCCTTCCTCGTTTCAGATTAACTATAGGCTTTTTGAACTTCAGCTAGAGTTGGGGGACCTACTTCAATGTTCCATTCACACTGTCTGGGAATAGAGGGTAGTTGTAAAGTAGCTGAAGGCCAACTGAATTGCTCCTTAAAATGTTCCGCCCATCGTTCTAAACGTCTGGACTGGGAGCAGATGAGAGTGTCGTCTTTTTCCGAAATAGTCTGACTTACACTTGACTTATTAATTCCAGTTTCTTTTATTAGTCTGTAGAGTTGTCTTGTGTTCCCTATAGCCGCCTCCTTTTCCATCTCTTTTGCTTTCGTTGCCCACCACTGCTCACGATCATTCCTTAGACTTTTGCTTAACCTAGATCTGATTTCTTTACGCTCTTCATCGTGTTCAGAACCTGATGGGATGAGTTTACGAGAATCTATCAGTGCAATAGACCTTGAAGAAATCCATTGGTTCTTTGTAACCCTGTGGTTTAAATCACTAGTAGATGCAACCGCTGTTTCCACAGCTGCTTTTATAACTTTCCAATCAACATCGGGGTCAGCCTCTTTTTCAGAACTACCTAAGTGTGACCTCAGTTGTTCCTGGAACCTACTTTTGGTTTTCTCATTACTCAATTCGGTTCTAATGAGTCTTTTTTGTGTGGCTTTTTTGTGTCCAGTGAGGCGCAAGCAGATGCCTGCTCGTATTAGGGCATGGTCGGAATCCAAGCAGGTACTCCAGAATGGGCGACAATCTTCTATTGACCCTCTCCATCGATGACTGATGGCAATATGGTCTATTTGAGTCCATCGTTGGTTTGGTGCAGGGGGTCGCCATGTTAGACGATGTCTCGCCTTATGCTTAAAATTTGTGTTTGCTAAAAATAAACGGTTGTCTGAGCAAAGTTGCAGCAGACGATCACCATCATCTGTTCTCAGTGCCGGAATACTAAAATACCCACCTAAATGTCTTTCTGTTTCGTTTAAGCTACCTACCTGGGCATTAAAGTCGCCTGCTACGAGTACTATGTCTGAACGTTTAGCTTTCTGAAGAAGTTCAGACAGCTTTCTGTAAAATTCATCTTTCACTTCATCCGAACTGCAGTCAGTGGGAGTGTAGACAGAAACGACGAAAAGGCAACGACGTGTGTCCCTATCCTTTCGAGTTCTTACCGAGCCGTTTAGCCGAACAGCGCATAGACGACTATTAACGGGGATCCACTCTAATAGCGCTTGTTCCGACCTCATGCTTAGTGCTATGCCTACACCTGCAAGTCCACGAGAACTAGCCATCGGGTCGCCAGATACACGGAGGGTGTATCTCGTCGGCACGCCGTTTTGCCGAGATGAGGTCAAGTGAATGACCACGCTAGGATCCTGTATGTGTGTTTCGGAGACACAGCATACATCAATCGTACGAGATTCTAAGGTTTTAGCCAAGGAAGCTTGCTGACAGATTTGGCATAGTGTGCGTACGTTGAAGGCTCAAATGTGTAGTTTGGAGCGAGGTTTCAGTAGACCTGGGACAGTGTTTTGCGCACTAGAATCGTTGGCTGTGGTGACACTTGAGGAGGAAGCCGAAAGAGGGAGTTTAGATTTGAAAGTCGATGTAGGAGGAATAATAGGAATTGAACAGGTAGGTTGATTATGAATACAGTGGTCTTGAGTGCTGTTAGAGGTATGAGGGCGGTTATCACTTCCCGGTTGCCCACACCGTGGAAGGGTTCTTCTGGAGGTACCTGAAAAGGAAATTGGATTAGAGTTGGTCATAGTGACCTGAGAGCGTGACCGCAGTGCCCAAGGGACAGCTGCTTGAGGTCGGTCACACACGACCTTTTTATGAGTGATTTTTGTGTTAGCTCCGTACTTGTTGAGACCTTACCGCCGGAGACGGATATCCATGGGATAAGGTGAGGTGTGCATTTTTAGGGTCGACCTTTTCTAACCTCTCCCCTCCTTTTGGGAAGGCAGCATCGCTGTTATGCTGGTTGTCTGAAGGAAACACCTTACTGCTGTCACACCTCTGTACAGTCAGCAGTACGACTTCACCTTTGGATCTTGGTTTTGTTGCTTTTAGTCTTACCGCTCTTTAACCGACTTGTCTGGCATGGTAGGACCTTGAGGAACGGTTGTTCCAGCCAGTATAGCTCAGTTGCTTCATCACGATAGGCAAGCCCGACCACCACGTCAAGGTAGCAACAATACACTATCCCTACAACTGGTGTTCTGGCTTTTGAATAATCTCGAGTAACCTCAGGAGATTTGGCCTGCGTAAATACTCACTAAACGGGATATTATTTGAGTCAAACAGAGAGGAATTTATCTCTATAGGCTTTACGTAGAAATACATTTGCAAACACTTATACTTTGCTTTGATAGTGATATACAAAATAATTAATGGGTCCGACAATTCTAAAGATAATAAGCAGAGTTATTCAAGTTGTTTAGCTCTGTGATTGTGCCGTAACATGCAAGCAATTATTGGCCTAATTAACATAGGACCTCAGAAAAGACATGTTTTGTTCATCATAGCTCGACTGGGTTATGATGATAGGTAGGTCCAACCGATGGTCAACGTAACAGCTATGGCTGGGTTGTTAAAAGAATGATCTATATGAATGTAGAAATATGGATTACGATAAGTTGAGATGATAACTATCTTGCCGATTGATTAAGAAGTTTATTTATCCACTTGCTGCTAATCCTAGTGTTTACTACTGAGAAGAGGATTTCAAGTGAAGAAGCCGTCAGATATATTAATTGACCAGTTAACTGAAATGCCAAAATATCAGTTTAAGAGATTCTTCTGACATTAATATATGCAATAATTAAAAGGAAACAATGAAGTTGACAGAATGATGCAGCTTGTATAAACCAGAATATCTACTTTTAAAGAGGACCGGGTACATGCACACAGTACTTCATTGGTAACGATTCAATCCCATTAAGGCGTGTGATAAAAGGTATACAGTAATAAAGGAGAACATCGAAAAGAAAAGAACGACAAACAATTAGCAGTCCGTTTCACAAGTTAATGTGATAATGAGAAAAGTTTCAAGCGACAGAAAATGTGGTGAGTATAACCGAATATAACATAAGCTAGTATCTATTTGTGAAATTATTTCGCTAGATTTCAAAATGATATAAGTATATAAAAAGGCGACGGGCTACACACCAGGTTATGTTTATATACCTTATAGAGATGGTAATAAAAAGAAAAAGTGTTTGGGACGAAATTCGGCAATATAGTACGATGAGGTGTAGGTCATACTGTTGTACAATGTACGAAATTACTAAAAATTAGCTGGCGGATACAGATATGGTAGATGGGAAAAATAGCCGTAAAGTAAAATACTGAGCAGCTTCAACAACAGGATTGATACTGTAGCTACGGTATCTCCTTGTTTATTATATGCGATGTCAGTTCAAATTACTACTGTGATCCGGATGAAATAAACAATTCGGAACATACGACATGACCATCAGGGGCATTGAATCTTCTCACTGAATACAAGACAACCGTAAGAGACGGAAATTTCTTTTTGCATAACAATGCACTAAGTGAGAAACAAACTTTGACATTTTCTATCTCTTGGAATGTGGAATTATTGCAGTACTGTTCTCATCGGTAAATGCATGGAACATTTAAGATCTCGCCATCATTTTTACACGCGTTTACATAATTCATACTGTGAAATTCAGCATAGTTATCCGATTTATCCATATTTTAATGGACAACTATGGTACTAATTTGCATGTGCGCACCTTCAAGATGAATGAACCGAGCTTAACTTTAAATTTCCAAACTATTATGACTGGTTATGAATATTCAACTTTATTAGTATTTCGACAAGTATATCTAAGTCCATAACAAGAATGTTATTTGTGCCGTTTGTGTCAAGGTATACAGTGGAGTCCACAGTAATCAGCAAACCCTCAATTTGCCAAAATGTACCATGGGGAATCTCCAGTTTTGTTATGAAAGATCCTACAAAAACAAACATTAAGGTGGGGGGACTATGAAGTTTTAAACAAACTCACTGGTGACGGTCATCCAAACATATGGAAATACATTGTTCTTAATAAGGAACAGAACCTAAGAGGACTGAAAATTGAGTTTGGCGAATAGACCCAGAAACAGGAAGTAAAGAAGGAGCACACGGTAGAAGCATGTATTAAACTGGTTGTAAAAATTTGTGCAAACAGATCGATACTGAAATATTTGCGCGGAAAATAACGTGACTCTAATTTGCATATTTGGATACATCAAACTGCTCTAAAAATTAGAATGTGTAAGTAGAACTAATATATGTACTACACGAATAGACCACCAAATTGATGCTCGCTCACGATTTATGATAATTAGTTAATGTACTAAAGGGATTATTTTATCATATTAAATCGCTCTTATTAATAAGAAACCCTGTTGGAGGATATAATCTGAGACAAGAAATTAATTACTATCTGGTTGGAGTATACAAATATATCAGTCGAAAATAACCTTAATATTTTTTACTTCTCAGTTTATAACGTGTTCTCCCAGTATTTTTGAGATGAACTAGAAAACTTAATGGATTTCTATGGAGCTGTTGTGAAGCGAGTGTAGTTTCAACATTTGAGAAGTGACGTAATTCAACGTAAATGAACATAACATTGAATGTTAACTTTGATAGGTATGAGTACAAAATGACTTATCCCATAAGCACCCAATCAGCCTGTTTCGATGAATTTCCCAAATCTGGACAAACTTTGGGGGTTTGTGTTATTTTATCTACATTTTCTATATCGGCTTTCCCAAAAACGGATAAAATTTTCTCCAAAATAGGAAGATTGATTACCTTACTGGAAATCAATTTAATAACTTACAGTGTAAATCAACCGAGACCTGTTGGAGTGACAGATGCCTCGAACTTCGCTTTCATGTGCAATAACTTCAACCACTTTATTTCTTTTTGATACGTTCCAGAATTGAACCTAAACGTACTAGTTGCAACAAAATGGTGAGATACAAACCTTCCCATCAGCTGTTCCAAAAGTCGCCATGCCTAAACTCTCTGTATTTAGAGAAATACTTGTGACCCTTTCGGTCGACCCTTCAAGTGCTCCTATAAAAGGTTTGCTCATCATCTTTCCGAGCTTAGCAGCGTTAATTGCTCTGACATATTCTCTTTCACACGAAAATGGGTGTTCTGTTGCGCTGTGGTTTCTAGGAACTATGATTTAATTTGCTGATGTTAGACTGTCGTACTTTTAAAAATATCATCGGCAGTTTCCCTGCGAAAATCAGAAGGATTGCGTGACAGTAAGCGAACCTTCATATCCAAATATTTGCCAAGGTTAGGGCCACTCAATATCCAATTTCTTAGCACAACCTTTTTCAGTCTTCACACTTAGGTAGTTAGAGGATCTGTTTTAATCACTGCTGCTTGTTTTTCAGTGAGATACCAGCTTCTTCTTGGAAGTATTCGCTGATTTTACAGATACTGCCTGCTCGGGTAAGGCGTTCCAGACATCAACCGCTCGATAAGAAAAGCGAAATCTAAGTTTATGATGCAGCGGTTTTAGAACCTTCTTGCTATGACTTCGAGGATAAGTAGTTCTGGATTAGCAAAACCATCAAGTATACAAACACTCGAATAGTTACTTGAGATAAGGAGTGCCTATATAAGGTCACCTTGGAGTCTAAACTACGATAGAAGAAAGAGGTTTATGAGAACAGAATGCTCTACATGAAGAAATTTGCAAAGACACTGGAATAAATTTGTTCTTGTACGCTGAATACGCGCGACTGTGAAGACATCATTGGTAAGACATGGACTAGTAGATTAGATACCGTATTCTGAATGAGGACGAACATACATACATACTTCCTAATGTTACTGTAGTGGAGGAGCATGGACTGCCTATCAAAATCGTTCGTCCAAATTCGGCCTGAGAAGTCCTTCCCAGTTATTCACAGATTCAAGTATATACCAGGTTTGTTATGTCATCATCATCAGATCAAAACGTCCGACTGTGGAAAGCTCACGCTAACGAAATTATTGGACCGGTATTTTTCTTCACCATACTCATTAAATTTCATTCTGCTTAGATTCAGCCAAGACAAAAAGCATCCCTACAGACATGTGAATCTTTACGAGAGAAATTCAGAGACCATCCAGAAGTCCGGAAAATTCTAAAACATCGTCATCTGCCTAAAACGATTCACGCCTCCAGTAAAGAACATGCAATAATCAGAGCCAAAGAAAGGCGCAAGGAAAGAAATACTCGTATATTTAATAAAAATGACCTTCCATTTATTCCTGAAAAAGAGAAACACGTCGTCGCACAATATAAGTAGTTTATGTGTCTTCGTTTTTTTTTCTTAATGAAATACAATACATTGAGATGTGCATGAACTCAAGGTGAATTTTGTTTATGTACCAAAAGATTCACCGTTCACTTGCTTACGCCTGTTACTCTTCGTGGAGAAGCATAGGCTGCCCACCAGTGTTCTCCGTCTTGGGCAATCCTTTCCAGTTGCTGTTTATCATTTCGGTGCCTGCTTCCAATTCTCGATGCAGTGTGTGCTTCGGCCTTCCTCTTTTCCACTTCCCTTCAGAATTCCAGGTTAGCACTTGCCTCGTGATGCAGTTTGGTGATTTCCGTAATGTGTATCATACCCACCTCCAACGTCTTTTCCTGATTTCCTCTTCAGATAAAAGTTGGTCTGTCCTCTCCCACAGTAGACCGTTGCTGATGGTATCTGGTCAACGGACACTAAAATCTTGCGCAAACAATTGTTTATAAATACTTGTGTATTTTTGATTACGGTCGTAGTAGTTGTACAAGTTCCAGCTCCATACAGTAGGACTGTCTTGATGTTCGCATTGAAGATTCTGACTGTGATGTTGGCTTTCAAACAGCTGTTTTGTGTTCCACGTGTTCTCCAACTGTAGGAATGCCGTCGTTGTTTTGCCAATCCTTGCATTTACGTCTGCATCGGATCCTCCTTGTTCATCGATGATGCTTCCTAGGTACGTGGAAGATTCCACACCTCCCAGAACTTTTCCATCAAGTGTGATTGAGTTGGTGTTCTCGGTGTTGTATTTGAGGATGTTGCTTTTCCCTTTGTGTATGTTGAGGCCTACTGCAGTAGTCTGCTGCTACACTAGTTGTCTTGACCTTCATTCGTTCGTGTGTATGAGATAGAAGGTCTAGGTGATTAGCGAAGTCTAAATCATCTAGTTGCACGCAAGCTGTCCATTGTATTCTGTGCTTCTCCTCAGATGTGGAGGTCTTCATAATCCAGTCAACAACCAGAAGAAAGAGAAAGGGAGAGAGAAGGCAGTCTTGTCTGCCTCTAGTCCTCACTCGGAATGCGTTTTGTCAGCTGTCCTCTAATCACTACTTTTCAGTGTAGTATGCCGTATCATGTTAACGATTTTTTCAGGTACACCATAGTGTCGAAGGAGGTTTCATAAGGTTATTTACACTGTAAAATCGCATTTGGGTTAGTTTTGTTCGAAATTAAAACTTCATAAATGTCGCTGAAAGCATTTTTAGAGGCTCTGGTTTACAACGTGCGAATTTCTGATGCTGTAAATAGGAAAATTTCCTAAAGATGATTTGTTAGTAAATCAACAATTCCGCTGCATTAACATAACATTCCATTCCAATGCCTACTGAAGGTTATGTAGGCAACTCATTGAAGAGTTCAGGAGCAGATCTCAAAGATGAGCATAAGTTTGGCAAATGTTTGTTCTGTAGCACATTTCACTCTTGTAATTCATATGTAATCCGTAATACTTAATGTGGTAAAATCGGACACAAACAGGCAGTTCGTAATACAACCATTTCGCCAAATCGTTCATTTTGGATCTTAATATTCTCAGATTGTGAATATGTAGAATTATGGTCTATTATGATATTAGAACTGCTCTAATAATAGACCTAATCATAAAATTGTAGATTTGTCATGATATAAGTGCCTAATCTATAAGATCTTACGTGGAAGTCACATCATCATCTACACCAACTCACTGCATCGTAACGATTACAAATACATAATGGAGAACAATCTTAGGCTAGAGATGGAACAATATATTGAACTATGAATAAAAGATATAAGGTAGAATTCAGCAGGGACCACGCCTGCATGACCGGGCCATGCCACCGATCAACTCCGATTAATTCAATTCATTCTCCTCTCCTTCTCCATTCTTCTCTATTTCTCCGCGTAAAATGTTTAATGTCTATTTCTCATACTGTCTCGTGATAGGGCCCAATGCCACTTCACTACTCTCCCACCAGAATCAACGTGACGTTGTTTCGTTACCATATTGTGCGGGATTGTCGCGCGCCGGAGGTTGCCAAAAATAATAAGAGTCCACCGGGTATTGATAAGCTGAAAGATAAATCAAAAAAGTGGCAGGATCTGGTCGGGAAATATATTTAATAATTTTAAAACGTCTGGTTTAATGCCTAACATGCTTAAAATGAAAATTTAGGTAATGTTTATTTGAGCTAAACAAAGTGGAATTATAATAATGATGAAATGACTCGGTAGATGGATATTTTAATAAGTCACCGTAAGGTACGTAGTAATAGCCGTAGGTTAATAACATTTCCTGTTTAGAAATATTTAAAACAACCATTATTTAGAAATGTTAAAATAGGTATCATATTTTGTTAAATTATGAAATCAAATAACGTTTATATCAGAAATTTGTCCATGCATTGATTTCCAATTGCATCTGCATTAATAGGCTAACTGAAAGAACTAAAGTATAACCGTGTAGAAGAATTCCAACTAGTGTTTCAGTTACTTTGATACGGTTTATTTAGTTATGGGGGGATTTTCTCGACCTCATTTTTACTTGACCGTGATAGACTTTAGTAATACTACCAATACATATGAATGGTTATCAAAAACAAACGTTTTAGTGCGTGAAAAGTGATAATTATGTGAATTTTGGACAGATTGCTAAGAGCAGTTTGTTAAACATGAGTGTATTCGTAAGAGACACGCTCTAGACTCAATGTTCTGACTTGCCATAGACTATTTATTTATATTAATACCTACCGGCTGATGGTGCATACAAGGTAGTTACAAGCATGCAGTTTAATATAAGGCGGAATACTATTTCATTAAGATATAGTGATTATAAGTTATTGAAATCAGTTAAGCCTATGTGCCACAATTTTAGGTGATGTGGTGCTGCAAGATGTATTCGTCCAAATAGGTTTTTTGCAAGATGATTATCAGCGAGTGATGTTCATGTGATTAACGGGGAGAACATAAGTTGTAACCAAGGGGAGTACTGTAAAATATGATCGATAAATGAACGCACCAATGATAAGGTGAAACGCCCACCACCACGTTAACTTTCCTTGACCTTGTATGACTATACTTTTTTCTATCCACCAATCATAATTTTATGTTCATTTTGAAACAATATTCGCTTTGTTGACTCATTTTTTCCTATTCTCTGATTACTTTTCGGTATGTTAATCATGTCTCTGTTTTCCCTACGTTAATAGACTGTACTGTTTATTTTGTATACTAACGGTGTGTAATTTATTGTTTTAGAAACAGATAAAGTTTATCAGGCCAAATAGCTTACTTGTTCTGACTTTGGCTAAAGCAAGACTCTGTATTCGACAGTTTAGAGAATAGCTTAGTTAACCTGTAGGAAATTGTTTCCTACAAGTACACTCCCAACTCATGTCTATGATAATGACTTGAACCCTAGTCAGTGTTGGGGTAAATTAGACATTGATGTTTGCAGGAGATTTGCTCGACTGCTTATACTGATGAGTTGCCTGCATGATCGTGTCGCTAAACCTCCAATTAGACTGACAAGGTTTTGAGATATTTACTGAATGAGCAACTGATAGAAAAACGTACTGGAAATTATCTGTAATGGACGAAGATACCGAGGAAACAACACCATTTAATGATAATTACAAGTCAATTTGCCGATCGATTTTGTTAATAGTTTCATCAATTTTATCAATTATATTACGTGATCGTCAAATCACGACAATGCTTTATGACGATATCCTGAAACCATTATGTTAAAATAATTATAGTGTTGATTGAGGATAAGCCAGTGAAAAAATAGGTATTAATGCTTTAGGTGATTAGAAATTGTCAGAAGTTTGTAGCGTCAAAGAAACCGAGCTGCGTAATTATATTATAAACTTCAATTCAAAAGTATACGTATAGTGTTAATTTTAGAGATAGGTTCCGGAGTTTTAATTTTCAATGTTTGTTTAGCCATCAAATACCTGATAGTTTAGTTATTATACTAAGGCAGTATGCTAGTACTCAAATTTTTAACTTTATTATCCAAACTAT